TATGCTTTCTAATGGCTCTGTGTCCATTTATGTTTGACAGACAGCTGGGGTGAATGCATCAGGATCCCCTCCCTTCTACCTAGGTTCCTTCAGAATATTTACCTTTCCCTGGGGATCTGTTGCTTCTCACATAGGCCAGTGTTGCTTCTCATAGTTTTGTCTGATGTTCAGTTGTAGGAAAGTTAGTAATTTACTCAGTGGCTTTACCGGTGAATTTACACAGTGCTCCGACACAAGTTTAGTCCCAATCAGTTTTTGTTGAGCTGACCTGAGTATAAAAATCTAAGTCTAGAATGAGCCTCTATCCGTTCATTCAATAGTTCTGTCCTTGTACTGGTTTTTACTCCTCAGAATAGACACACAAATGCCTGTGATGCTCAGGCAATCAAGGAATGAGTGCTTATCTTTCTGAGTTAGCTCCTAGAATCTGTACTCCTACCTATTGGCTTCTAAATTCATCCCTGTTCTTCACTTTAGTACTTACTGGGAAGAATAGTTGACATTCTTAATTTCTTAAAACTTCATTATAAAAATGTTGCAGAACTCATTGAAAGCTGAAATGAGCCAGGCACAGACTTACATTTTATTAAATGAAAATATATAGCTATTATCACAGATTCTCAAACATCTACAGAATTTTACAAAGCCTACATAAGTTGTCAATAAATTTTCATCATCCACAGTGCTCATCCCTCAGAAGCAATGGCTTCAGTCTGCTTTAAACACTGGGCCACGCTCAAACTCTACACTTACTCTCGGTTTTACGGAAGACCCAAAGCTGTGTGAGTAATATTCAAAATTGTTGTCTCTTTTTCTCAATGGGATGATGCTCTATATTATTATAGAGTATAGAATGTCTCTGAGTAAAGGATTCGGTTATTCTGAAAAACAAAACAAAATCATAGGCACTTTTATTGTTCAACAAAAACACACACATATTACTAGAGAAGAGAAAGGCTAACATGGACCAATGATGACCAGGCTCGGCGGCGATCTAAGTCATGCATTGACGATGACTACATCTCTTCCTGTCTGAGGTTCACAGCATCACACACCTCACATCTCCCTCTTAGTCAGGTGACAAAAGTTAGACATGTGGAGCACATGCTGGAATCAGGCACTTTCATGCCTGTCCTTATTGGATTAATGAAACATGATAAAAATATATACACAAATGTAAACAAATTTATTAAAGCATTGCTCAATTAGACATTAAATAATTGCCCACAAGCAATATTACTACATGAAGAAAACTTACAAATCTTTTAAGAAATATTTGTCATAAATATGTGTTTAAACTTTATCCAATTTCACATATGATCTATAATTAATGGATTAAGCCCCAGTGAGGGTCAACACCTCAATTTTAAATCTTTTTACTTGATTCTTTAAGAAACCACCATAAAAACCTGAATCCTTAATAACAAGTAGTGAAAGGAAAATGTAGAAAATATTTGAAAAATAGCAATCTTTGTATTATCTTCCGCGCTGTGTTCTCCCTGGATGGATGCTGACTGACATATTGTTACCTGGCTGGGAGGTCCATGGTTGCCCTATCCCCATGTGCGAGGATCTGAGAACTGATGTAAGTGGAGTTAAAGTTCTTGTTCTGCTTTGGGTGACCTTGATAAAACTTTGCTCTCTTGGTAAAGGCATGCATAGGCTCCTGTTAGGACAACTGTGACTGTGGCCTCAATTTAACATGGCCATGAACACAGTGCTGAGGGCTTCCAAAATTAAGAGAAGAGACAGAGACTCAGGGTGGCACAATATCTGTTGGATTACCTCAATATCTCAAGATTTTGTGCTAGGATTTTGTGGGCAATAGTTATGTACCTATCACAAGAGACACATTATTACCTACGTAGTTAGGTAATAATACGACAGAAAGAGAAAGAGCAAGGCAAAGGTGGTGTTGGACGAATGATGACCACTGATGATGTATGATCCGGGGATCATGACTACAGGTCAGGGAGTCTGAGGTTCACACCAGAACACATGTAGTGTGGGTTGTGATACAGATGTCAGGTGTAGTAAATATAGTGTGTTATCATATTATTTATGTTCATGAGTTTTCATTCTAATATATAGATTTACATATGAATGAAAGAGGGTTAAGCACTCTCAGGTAATACTAGGTGTTAATAATAACAGTATATGAATATCTATAATATATTTCACACACCCCCTTGTAATAAATTTGCAGAGTTACAATCCCTTAGCTGAGTATGCTCTGTGCTGTTGAAAACAGTGTTCAAAATTCTTGTTAGGATTAGAACTGGTTCTCCTGTTTTTTTTTTTTTTCTCAAGAAGAATGTATAATACTTTTAAATACTTAGATGAGTAAAATAAGAAAGTTACAACACAGTGGGCATGGTATAGAAAATGATTGTGTTTCTAATTCTTTCTGCTTTTTCATCTCTGTGGATTTCCCAAAGCCGAAGCTACCCTTTCATCTGCATCATGAAGTCCACAGCTAGCCTAGGGTCTTGGGAGCACGGGGGACCATGTAAGTATAGTTCATGTTCTTGTGTTACTTTGACGGCTTCTTCTTATTGTTAAATGGATTACAAATTACCTTAGAATGTGACATCCAATTAATGACAGATGCGAAATATCCTGGACATAATTTATTAATATCTTTAATACTAAAATATGATGACACATGGAATCACCAAAAGAATTGCTTAAAACACACAGAAGATTATAATTTGATAGCTTATATTTATCTGTCCGTATCTGTCTATCTACTATCTATCTATTCATCATCTATATATGCTCTGACATAAATTTTGTCCTATTTCTGTGGAATCACAGCTGTAATGGCACTATCATATATATAGAAAAAGCATATTGTTATCTCAAGTAATGAAACCAAAGTGGAAGCTAGTGAGGACATTCTATTGTGAGACAGGTAGATGTTTGATCCAGTCTCATTTGACTTGTCTAGAAAACTCAAATAAACTTAACCATTCATTGTTTTGCAATGGTTCTTGTATTTATTTGTTTACATACTGTATAGTATTATACAGTTTTTGCAGGGATAACCCTTTATGCATGCAGATGGCTCGGTGTGTATTTATGCTTGACAGACAGCTTTGGAGATTGTGTCAGCATCTACTTCCCTCTCCTCACTGGGCTCTACATGTAAAATGATGGATTAGTCAAGAAATAAATATAGAAATTAATATAGTAGATAAGGGTTGGTATTTGGTGAATGATCACCATGGGTGCCATTTGTGCTGTACAAGTGATCACAGTCTTGGACTTTCCTAAAAGATCTAATCTATGCCCATGATCTAAGTGACTCATGTAGGAGTAATCTTTTATAAATAGACAAAATAGACTAAATTTGGGATCAATCAATGATATAGCTACTCACAATTGGTTAGTTCATGCAATACACATGCATGCATGCAGAATGAAATCCACAGATAAAAGTAAAACAAAATGTTTGGTATAATTTCACAATAATGTACTAATAATATATTAGTAAAAGTATTAATAAATGGAGTGCTAATATATTCATGAACACAATATCCCATGAAGACAGGGATGACTGAGGAATATTATATGCAACCTTCTTTAAATTGTCAGAGCCATGTGAGGTGTTTTTATTCTCAATAGGACATATAACACTGTCATACAGACTTAGGTGAGTGATAAAAAGGAGTTATTAATGCAAGTAAGCAGAGTGCATGAGTGAGAGAACAAAATGCCACTTTTTTTTAATGATCTCTTCTGTTTTGTACTCTCAGAATGGATTCCGCCCCCAGGCTGATTTTCACACTCCGCCGTGGTCATGAGCCTCCTAATGAGCTGTTTCAGATTGTAATATAGACACAGTGTGAGTACAGTCTGCCTTCTGATGTCGCTTCATGATGCTTCTAAAGGGCATTTACTGTATTAATAAGACTAGCCATGGCAAATGCTGAATATGTTATGTGTTTGAAACACAAGGTTTGATAAAATGTTGTCAAATTAAGGCTATGTAATGAAAAAGGTCCTTATCACAAAAGATATGTAAGAACTCGGAATTATACTTAAGGATCTTGTCCTTGCTTTCTCTGTGAGTTAAAATTATCTTAATCGTCCCAGTGATCAATTGTTCAATAAGTATGCTTAAATTAATAGAGTAGAGGAGGGCTGATGTTGGATCAATGATGACTGTGGGTGCTGTATGAGTCATAGATTGTGACTACACGTCTGGGAGTCTGAGGTTCACATCATAACACATCTGGTGTGTACTATTAATGTGAGTTATTGATGTTAGGGTAATTAGGTAAAATAGAAATAAAAATGAATTTGGAAGTTATTTTCTAATTAAGACATAATTCCCCTGCAATAATGCTAAATGCAAATACCAAATAGTAATTCATTCAGCTATGATGACTGAGGACCCCCCCTGAGCTGAAAGCATTGGCGATATTCGTGGTAGGATCAGAGCTCTGGCCATTTGTTTTCTTGAGTAGAGTACACCCTAGAGTAGTAAATGCTTGGATGAGGGAAAAGAGGGAATGAGCAAGAGAAGCAGACAATGCATGGATAAGTGAACAGAATGTCAATCTTTTTATAATTTCTTCTGCTTTATACTCTCAGAACGAATACCTCCAAGCTGATTTACATATTCTTCCTTAGTCCTGAGTTTTGACGTTTGCTGTTTTTCTATGAAAGAAAAAAGTCCCTGTGAGTATAGCCTGTGTTCTTGTGTTGGTTTCTGTTGTTTTTAAGGACGGTTTCTGTAGTGTTAAAGGGCTGCTTATCCTCTAGGAAGAGTGGCTGTGGCCAAAGGGTTAATAGGACATTTGTGTGAAACACAATGGTACATTGAGAACCTGTAAGGAAAGAGTCACTCCCGCAGCAAAGGATCCTGGAGAGGTTTAAGGTGTAATCAAGGATCTTGTTCTTACTTTTTTTGTGACTCAGAATTGTCTCAATGGTACTAATGATTGAGTGCTCAGTAAATGTAAATTGGTAAAAAAAAAGAGGAGGGCTGTTGTTGGATCCGTGATGACGGTGGGTGCTGTATGAGTCGTGAATCATGATTACAGGTCTGTGAGTCTGAGCTTCACATCACAAAATAGCTAGTGTATTTCCCTTGATTTAGTGACAGCTGGAAGGGAATATTCAATATTTATAATTAGATGAATATAGATATTATTGTAATATAGTATAATAATAATATACTATGCTGTAAGTAAATATTAGTAAGTCATTTTCCAATTAGGACATAATTCCACAAAAGGACAACTTATATATACCAAAACACAGTTGCATATTTGCCAATGATGACTAAGATGTCATGTAAAGTAAAATTATAGACACTGCTCTTGGTAAGGTCGCAGCTATGAGCATTTCTTTCCTTAAGAAGAAAATCTCATAGAGTGATGATCACTTCTATGAGGGATGAGAAGGACTTGGGCGAGAGCAGTAGCTCATATGCAGGGATGAGAGAACAGAGTGTCTGTCTCCCTATATCCCCTGCTGTTCTGTGCTTTCAGAGTGGATGCCCTGCAAGCTGAAGATACAGTCTCACTTGCACCTCAACCTCGAAATCCAGCCTATGTGTTCGTAGGATAGACAACGTGTGGGTATTGCCTGTGTTCATGTCTTGCTTTGTGTTGTTTACAGATCCCTCATGCTATTGAGGGATCACTACCTATAATATGGAGGGCTAATCTTGGCCAAATGCTAGCTAAGCACGGCAAGTGTGTGAAGCACACACTTTAACAAAATTTTGCCAGCGGTCTGAGTTATAACTCAAGGACCCTGCTATTAGAATTCTGTGATTCGTAATTATCTTAATATTATGAATGCTTAGTCAAAAACATAGAGAAACTGATAGAAAAGAGGAGGCTGGTGTTGGATCAATGATGAGCAGTGGTGGTGTATGATTCATGGATCGTGACTACACGTCTGGGAGTCTGAGGTCCACATCAGCATAGCTAGCTTATACCATAGTCACTGAAAGCAATTAAGAGTGCTAGTCTATTCTTATAACTAGCTTAAAACAGAGATACAAATCTGTTGCATATATTCCAATTAAAGTGGATCTTCACAGGAAGAGTCCTAATAATATAGACCAATATATGGCTAAGGATGCCATATGAATAATAATTAAAGCCATGTGTTAGAGCCATGGCTATTCGTTTTCTCAAGAAACAGACATAGTAGTGTAGCGTCTACTTGGATGAAATGTAAGAAGAATGAGGAAGGCATGGATGAGTGAATGGAAGATAAATCTTTTTATCCTCTCTTCTGCTTTATACTCTCAGAATGGATTCCCCCAAGTTTATTTACACATTCTCCCTTGGTCGTGAGCTCCATGATGAACTCATTGGGTTCAGAATGTAGATACCATGTGAGTATAGCCCTGTTCTTTTGTTGTTTCATGTTGGTTTCAGTGGCTGTGCACGTACAGACAAAAAACCCACTTATCTGAGAAGAGCAGCCATGCCCCAGGGGTTAATATGGTATGTGGGTGAAATATATTCAACTAAATTTCCCAGATTAACAATGTATAACAAGAGATTCTAATCACAGTAAAAGCTTCTGAGGACCTTTGGAGTATACTTAGGGATCTTGTCCTTAGAACTTGTCATTCATAATGAAAATGATACCAATTATCAGTGGCTTAATAAATATTCATAAATCCACAGAGAAGGATAGGGCTGATGTGGATAAATGATGGCCACTTCTTACATATGAGTCATGGATCGTGACTACAAGTCTGGGAGTCTGAGGTTCACATAAAATATGTAGCAGAGACCCATATTCTCAGTCGTACATGTTGAAGGGAGTTGGGAAGTGATGTTATTCCAGTTCAGTTAATTGTTAAGTCATTTTCCAAGGATGATGTATTTCCTCAGGAAGACTACTAAATCTATATACTAATTCACACTTGATGATTGAGGCTGCCATATAAATTAAAATAATGGGCTACTTGTTAGGGTCAGAGTCATAGCCCTTTGCTTTCTCATCCAGAACACATTATAGTGTCACACACACTTAGATGAGTGTCAGAAAGCCGGGGGAGAGAATACAGAAAGCATGCAAGAGTCTCTAAACAAAATGTGAGCAGTTGAGTAGTTTTATGGTCTCTTCTGCTTTGTGCGCTCAAAACAGATATCTGCTAGCTGACCTATGCATTCTTCCTTGTGCAAAAGCTTCCTAGTTGTCCCATGGTGTTTGTAGAGTAGGTGTTGTGTAAGTATATTCAGGACTCCTGTTTTGGTATTATTACTTTTAAGGACCATTGACTGTATTGACGAGACTCTAGTTACTATCTGGAAGACTGATCATGGTCAAGTGGTTACTAAAACATGTCCACAAACATGGTGTTTAACAAAATTTTGCTAAATCAATAATGTATAACATAAGAGATGCTCAACGTGAGCAAAAGGTCCTATAGAGAGGCCAGATACATTCTTAAAAATCTTGTCCATGGTTTATTTTGTGAATGGTGATGACCACTGGTGGCATGAGTTGTGAATAAGAACTGTAGGCCCCGGGGGTCAGAGGTCACACCGTTAAATACTTAGTGTAAACTTATTATCTCAGTGACCAATATTAGGAATAATCTATTTTTACAGTTAGATAATAAATTAATAATATACATTCCTAAGTCATTTTATAATCAAGACTTCATTTAACAAGTATATTAAAACATATCCCCAAAATAAAAACTCATTCTGATGAGGTAGCTGAGTCTATCACATGAGTTAAATTTATAGGCAAGGCTCCTGGTAGAGTCAGCATAATGGCCATGTTTTCTCAGGAAGAACATATAGTAGTGCAATGGATATGTAAATGAGTGATAAGAAGAGAGAGTAAGACAAGCAAGCAGAGAGCACGGCTGAGTGAACAGAATGCCAATATATTTCTATTTTCTGCTTTATACTCTCAGAATGAGTTTCCCCTAAGTTGATTCGCAATGTGAGCTTCATGCTCAGCTCTTTGCATTCATAATATAGACACGGGGTGAGCATAGTCAACATTCCTGTGTTGGTTCATGTTGTTTTCAGTGACTGTTGCATCTATTGATTTAGAAAACCACACTTAATATCTTCAAAGAATAGCCACCACCAAATGGTTAATACAGCATGTGGATGAACCAAAATGTTTAAATTCTTTCCACATTAAGAATTGGTAAAGCCTTTACTAATTAAGGAAGACTCATACTAATATATACTAAACTAGTTTGTTCTGATAGCATTATTTTGAGTGACATATAAATACAATTAATGTTTCTTTGTGTATCAGAACCATTGCCATTTGTTTTCTCAAGAACACAAACTAGTTTATTACACACTTAGATTAGGGCTAAGAAGAAAGAAGCAAGATAAACAGACAGAATGCCTAGATGAGTAAACACAATATTTACAATCTCATCTACTTTGTACTCTCAGGATGGATACCCCCAATGTGATTTGTACCTTGTCCACTGGTCCTGTGCTCTGTGATCAACACTTTGGGTTCATAATATATGCACAGCGTGAGTATAGTCAGTGTCCTTGTGTTGGTTTGGGGTGTTGTGAAATGCTATTCCTATATGGATAAAGACTGCCTATCATTTGAGATGAGAAGCCATTACCTAATGGTTGCTATGCAATGAGCATACACACCGTGTTTAATAATATTTTGTCAAATTAAGTATTTATGATAAAATAGATATTCAACATTGCAATAACCCAAGGAGTTCTTAAGTATGCTCAAGAATCTTATCATTGGGTTTTTGTGATTCATAATTATTTCGATAGTACTAGTGATCAACTGCTCAACAGAAGAGCACAAATTAATAGAGAAGAGTTAGGCTGATGTTGGATCGATGATGAGCGCTGGAGCAATATGATCCGTGGATCATGATTAGAGGTCTGGGAGTCTGAGGTCCACATCGTGAAACAGCAGATACACATGATGTTAGTAACAGAAGACAGGAATAGTATACTTTTGCAATTAGATGTAATATAAATAATTTGATTAAGTCACTATCCAATTCAGTCAGTTTCACAGCAAAATACTAAATATTCATATAGCAAACATAGAAATTTGTTTGGATTCTTGATTTAGGATAGCATCATTGGCAGCATTCCTAGTAGAGCCAGAATTGTTGCCATTGGATTGCTTACGAACACATCGTACAGTACTGAGCACTCTCATATAGGTAATAAGAAACCAGGGGTAACACAAGGCATGGCTCAGAAAACAGAATGTCACTCTTTCTATGTTCTTTTATGCTCTGTACTCTCAGGATGGAATCCCCAAAGCTGATTTGCTACATTCTCCTTTGTCTTCTGCGCTTTGCTTGGTGATGTGAAACTCATGTTCAGAGCATAGATACTGAGTGAGTATAGTCCATAGTCAGGTATTGGCTTGGATCACTTTTGCAGACTGTCCACTGCATTCTTTAAATGCTTCCCCTTTAGAGGAGCAACCAAGGCCAAATGGTTAACACCATAAGTAGATAAAACACAATGTTTCTTAAACGTTGTTCAATTAAGAATATGTAACAAAGAAGTTGCTCAGTGGAGCAAGTGACCCTCTCGTATACTCAGGGCCCTTGCCTTTATACTTTTGTGATTCATAATTATCTCCATAGTGATATTATCTATCACTCTATAAAATGTAGAAATTAATTGAGAAGCGGAGGGTTGATGTTGGATCTGGATGTCTGAGTTCCACATCGTAAAATAGCTACCTTACCCCCAGAACCCTGGTAGAAGATATGAGTGATAGTCTACTTTAATAAGTGGATAAAAATGTAAACAAAAAAGTTAAGGCATATTCTAGTTCAAACATAACTCCACGGCATGTGTATAATAATACTTGCAAAATAAAAGACTTCAGTGAAATGCTTCAGTCAGAATGAAGTGAAATCATAGGCAATATTGTCAGTAGGCTCAAAATGTTGTGTAATGTATATTTTCCCACAAAGCATGCATCCTAATGTCACACATAATTATGTGAGTGATGAGAGATGGATATTCAAGTAACAGTGCACGGATGAGCAAGCAGAATGTCAATCTTTTCATATTCTCTTCTGCTTTGTACTCTTAGGAAGGATTTCCCTCCAAAGTTGCTCTACACATTCTCCTTTGGTTTGGGGCTTCCTGATCAGCTCTTTGGGTTCTTAATATAGACACAGTGTGAGTACATGCCGTGTTCTTGTGTTGGTTTCTGTTGCTTTTAATGTCTGTCCTTGTCCCTTGAGAAAGGCCTCTTTATCATCCTGGAAGAGCAGTTTTGTCCAAAGGGTTAATATAGCTGGTGCATGAAGCCCAATGTTTAACAAATTTAAACAAATTAAGGAAGTGTAATGAAAGAGACACTTATCATGTCAAAAAAATCCCAAGGACCTTTGAAGTATACTTAAGGATCTTGTCTTTAGATTTTTGTGATTCCTAATCATCTTAGTAATACTAGTAATTGATTGCTCAATAAACACACATAAATTAACACAAAACAGGAAGGCTAATGTAGGATAACTCATGACCATTGATGGCATATGAGTTGTATATCATGACTATAGGTATGAGAGTTTGAGATCCACCTCATAAAACACCTAATATGTACCCATGATCTTAGTGATGTTAATAATAACTACTTTTTCAATTAGATAAAGTATCAATAAAAGTAAATATGGCTCAGGGATGGTGTTGTTTGCCTTTAATAACAGACCTCAGGAGGCAAAAGCTGGTGGATCTCTGAGTTTGAAGTAAACCTGGTTTCTAGAGTGAGTTCTAGGACAGCCAGGGCTACACAGTGAAACCTTGTCCTGAAACACCCCTGCAAAGTAATTTTCTTTTTTTTCCCCTTTGGACCAGTGTTTCTATGTGTGGCCCTTGTTGATTTGTAAATATCTCAATTATTGTACTTCCAATCAATTTCTCAATAAATATGCATAAATTAATGGAGAAGTGCAGTGTTGATGTTGGGTCTGTGATGACTGCTGATGCCGGATGACCGGGGACCATGAGTCTGGGAGTCTGCGGTCCACATCGTATGGTAGTTGGCTTTTACCCATGATCTTTGGTACAGATCTTAGGAATTGTCTATTTTTAAATTTACATAAAATATAAACAAAATACATAACTAGTGAATTTTCAATCAAGATTAAATTCCACAGAGAGAGTATTAAAATATACACCAAATTTGTTAATTCAGACTTGGTTCCTATCATGTCACATGACCTAAAACCATAGGCAACATTCTTGGTAGCTTCATAGCCATGGCAGTTTTCTAACAAGGAACCCATAGTAATATATGGCAAACTTGTATGAGTAATAAGAATAGAAGATGACACAGAAAGGTAGAGGGCTTGGATGACTTAAGAG